AAAAAAGCGTGCGAATTGAAACTCAAAAAGTAATTTAAACGAAATTCGATACTGGAATGCGCCCATGCTTCTTGTTGTAATGGTATGAAATCGATAGAGCTTTGTATGATTTCCACGGCCGCTACATTCCTGGTATGCGGGCAGATTGTACGTGGAAAAGCGCGTTGTTGAAAGCAATCTACTCGAAAACTACCCGGTAATGAAGAAGTATACATAGCTACTGCACTATCGATAAATTAGTGTTAGATGCCGCTGTGGTGCGTCGTTGGTAATAGGGGAGCATCCTTGCGCGCATAGGTACTGTGGCTGGCTGTTTAGTTTTAGTGTTGATTGTATAAGTTTTTGCAATTAAATGTGTGCATTTGGTATATGGGTCGGTTCGATGATCATGGAAATCATCAAAGGTCAGTATCGTCTAGTGGTTAGGACGCAAGCTTCACACGCTTGAGATCGAGGGTTCGATCCCCTCTACTGATATACTTTTTGAACATAAGCGGGCCCATGGTTCCTTGCATTTTTGCCACCACGCCAACGCTCCTTCTATCTTTATGGCTCTCATTTAGCAAAGTGCTTGCAGCAGAGAGCCATGCAATATTTATACGAAGCCACTTGTTGCAGTTGGATTTAAAATGGGTGTGAAATGTGATAGGTATGGAGAACGCCCGGATGCGATCCGGATAATTCCTCAGAACAGGAAAGATCACTTCCAGAAAGATCCGACGAACCTGCGGCTACGGTCTTGTGGCTCATTTGACAATTCACGACGATGGTCCATCCGACGCTCAAGGTGACGTACTTTGACATGGCCGGTCGCGCCGAGCTCACGCGCCTCGCGCTCTATGTGGCCGACATCCCGTTTGAGGACGAACGCCTCACCGGCGAGCAGTTTGGCGCGCTCAAGCAGAGCCTTCCGTTCAAGCAACTGCCAACGCTCACGGTCAACGGTAAGGTGCTGGCGCAGTCGCACGCGATGGCGCGCTACGCCGCGAGCCTTGGTGGCTTGTACCCGGCGGCCGACCCACTAGCAGCCTACCGCGTCGACGAGATCCTCGCCGCGAGCCAAGACGTCTTGAACGCACTCATTGTGGCTGCATTTTCACGCGATGCGGCCGCCAAGCCAGCGCTCCTCAAGGAACTCGCCGAGACAAAGCTGCCGACGATGCTGCCGTGTATTGAGGCGCGCCTCACGTCCGGTGGCAAGTACTTTCTCGGCGACACGCTGACGCTTGCCGACCTCGAGCTCTACTTGATGTGGGGCAACCTTACGTCGGGCAAGTGGGAAGGCGTCCCGACGACCATTGCGGAAGGCTACAAGCGCTGGAAGGCGCTCGCCGCTGCCGTCGGTGCCCATCCGCGGGTCCAAGCTTGGAATGCTGCGCACCCGGGCCAATAAGATGCATTATTCTGAGTCCCGCAGCGCACCACGCATTTGTAACTTGAAAAAGCTATGCACTCCGTGCTGCGAAATGCATCAATTGTCTTCGATCAGCCCACCGCGTTGTACTCGCATGTCCAGAACTGAGTACTACAATAAAATCGACTCGAGCACTTTACCGCCATGTCGTCTGCGCACGATACCACGTAGGTAACCACGCCGTGCGTAGCTGGTCTGGTTGCTAAAGATGGTACTGCCGTAGTGTCTGTTCTGGACTGAATTTCTTTAATGTAGACGCAACGCTATGAATTACATTCGGCGAGTCTGCATGTATAATTGCCGAGAATTTTGAGGACAGAATCCTCCAGCTAGACACAAGAGAGACAACCAACGTGTTAAAATGGTGGCTTGCAAAGTTACAGCTCGTCTTCAGAGCCTTCGTCGTCCTCGGAGCTCTCATCACTACTCGAATCGGACGATGATACGGTCGACGGCGGGATGCTGGCCGAGCTGTCAGAGTCGCCCGTCAGATCGATGGTGGCCACAGCAAGCTTTTTCTGTGCGCGCCGTGGCCGTTTCTGGCGACGAGGACCACATTCACCGCCTTCTTCGTAGTCGGACGCGTCGTCGGGGCTTGATGCGCTGGCCTCGAGATCGTACATGTCGGAGTTGTAGATGGGCTGCGGCCGAGAGCGCTTTGGTGCACCAATCATTTGTCGCTTTATGGCCGTCGGCAATTTGACCCGGACCACGCACGCCATGTCTCTGGGTGGTGACAGCGGCGGGACTTCGGGTGGTGGTGGCGGCGGTGCTTCGTCGGACGACGACGACGAAATGCTATTGTAATCGTCACTCGACGCGGCGTACGCTGCACCGATATCAATGCCGGGCGGTGGTAGAAACGGAAGAGGTGGCGGTGGAGGCGATAGTGGAGGTGGGTCAACGTCATGATGCGGTCTCGGCAGAGTAAGAAACGAGTTGCCTTCGGGCAAGCTTGCAAATGCACCGTCGAGAGGCAGATCGACCCCCCGTGGACTTGGCGACGTCTCACTTGCCAGCGCGACCGCAGCGTCGATCACCGCTGTGCGCACTTCAAGATGACCGTCGTTGGGACTCGGCACGGCTGCGTCATCGATGGCGTCGAACAGCCCGAGTTGTTCATCGCGGGATGTCGCTTCGTCGACTCGGGGCTCGTGCGACGACGGCAACGGTGGTGCTTCATAGGCGACTTGGATCGACACAGGCGACACCATGTTGCCGGACACCTCGATGACGACTGACGCATCATCATCATCTTGCTCTTCGACTTGGTTGGGTGGCGGGTTGGCACGTGCTACGGCGGGTGCAGATGCGTCAAAAGTGGGAAGCGCAGACGTTGGCCCAACATCGAGAGTACAGACTGGTGGTGGCTCGTTGTCGTCGCCGTCGTCGATCTCGATCGTGTCGTGGTAAGCAGCTAACTCATGACGGACACTATCGCCGTTGTACCGAGCTGCGTCGTCACAGCTGACCGACGCCGCTGTAGCCAAACGATGTGTGCTCTTGTCGTTCATCGAGGCAGGTCGGACGTTGCCTTGTAGTTCTGGAGCCGCCGACGCTTCGACGAAGCTACCACCGTTGCTCTCGGGCGCAGAGCGGTCGGCCGTGTTTACGATTGCTATCTCTTCCGATGCACCACTGTCTCTGACTGCGTTGGAGGGCGCCGCGAGCGCTTCTTCATCACCGTCCGCGTCGCTGACGTCGAGCGCGTCATCACCGTCCGCGTCGCTGACGGCGAGCGCGTCATCGCCTTGAAGCATGTCGGCGGGCGTGCCACCGCCCATCTTAACGCTCGCGAGCGCGTCGACGCTGGTATCTAGAGTGACCGCGAGCAGCCGCGACGCGCTTTCGGAGTTGACGTCGCGCCCGTTGTCGGAGGCGTCTTGAAGCAGCTCGTCGTCGTCGTCGTCATCGAGGATTTCAAAGACTTCGACAAACTCGTCGATGCCTTCGTCTTCTTCATCCCCACGTGCGTCGGCCGTCGCATTGTCGCCATCCATGTCCACGTCCGCCGACGCGTCACGTCGTACCTCGTCGTCGTCATCGCTATCTTCGATCTCAAAGATCTCGACAAAAACCTCTTCCGTCTCACTCGCATCGTCTTCACCCACTGCGCTCGTGACGTCCACCGCTTGGTAATGACCACCATCACTCGTGTCCATGCCGACGTCGAGGACGGAGCTGTGATTTGGGTCAGGCACGAGAACGTCGACCGCGGCGTCATCCAGCGGCGTCGCTTCGTCATGTTGAGATGAGCGGTCGGTGTTGATTGGGACGTCGAGTAACGCCGCTTGGGTACCGGCGGTGTTGGCGTCTTGTGTGAGAGCTCCCGCGCCCTCCGGGTCGACGAAGTCCGAGATCGCTGGTACCACCAGGGTCGGTGTAGGCTGGTCACCACACGTCACGACTTTGTTGTCCGTGCTACGCACACACAGAGCGTTGTCGGCGGCCACATCAGCCGCGCGGGTATCGTCGTCGATGGTCGCGACCTCCTTCTCGCCATCCCCAGGCGCGACGACGCCCGCTGAAGCAAGCTCTTGTACGTCAGGAACATCCCCGGTTGCACCATCAGCCACCCTTTTCGGGTTGGACGTGCAATGAGCGACGTCGATGCAGGTGCTGGACATCTCGATGTTTACGGACGCAGACATTTGTGTCGCGGCTACTTCGTCGTCAAGGGACTCGGGTGCGTGGATGCCGTCGTGGTGTTGCGGTGTACACATCACGTCGTGAGCAGCTTGCTCTCCAGCGTCCACAGCGACGGCGGACATGGCTGCGCTTTCGGCGTGCACTTTCTTAAGACCCGCCGTCGAGAGTGCCGCGCTGGGCTCCGCCTCGTCGTTGTCTTTGTTGTGGCCCACGAGGCATGTGACAGCGCTCGTCAAAGGGACGCGAGGCCGGTCGGGCGTCGCTCTGGTACCTTCGATGAGCTCGCGAACGTAATCGTTGCCAGCGGCGTTTGCTGCCATACCGTCCACCAACGGGTGCGCGGATACGTGCTCGATGGAGCCGAGATTGCAACCGAGCAGTGGGCCGAGCGACGGTGCGTTGTCGCCGTCCTGGTCGCTTGCCAGATCCATATTCCACCCAATGCCATCGTCGTAGTGTTCATCAATGCGGCTGGACGATGTTGATCCGATTGAACTGGTCGGCGAGAGCGGTGTAGCTTGGCACGACTCAGTCTCTGGGCGCCACGCGTCCCCGTCGTTTGAGGCCGGTGACACGTGCCCGGAAACACCGACGTCGGTGGTCGAGCCCGGCTCCGAGTCGCTGCCGTAGTTGTCCATGACTTCGACCCGCGACATCTTCTGTACGCGCTCCGCCAACGAGCTCCCATGCGGTCGAGATCGTTTGCGCTGCGCGTCGACTGACACGAGCGTCGACGGAATCGCGTCAGCCAGCAGGTTCATAAGCGCACTCCGTGCTGGCGGTTGGTCATTGTTTGCATTTTGCAGCAGCAAAAGGCTCGCTGGCGACTGGATCTTGCGCGCAATGTCTAAAATGCCCTTTGGCGCGGCGGCCGGCGGGGGTGCCTTCTTCTCTTCGTTCTCGTCGTCGCTCGAGAAGGCAGCGCCCATCGATGCGACGGCATGCGACACGCCATGGCGCACGCTCGGCATCTCCTGTCGGCGCGGCTGTGCCGGTCGTGGTCGTGGTCGCGGCTCGATCGAGACGCGCCGACAGGGGCAGTAAAAACTCGGGTAGATGCGGCCAGGGCTCACGGCGTACCATTGCCCCGAGGAGAGACCGTGAAACTCAAACGAGACAAGCGTGCCCTCGTGGAAGAGCCCCGCGAGCGACTCTTCGAATTCGACTTCAATGTCCTTGGCGCCGTCCACGGGCGGCTTGTGCCGACAGACGGTCAGTGCCACGAACCGACCGTCGCGAGGCATGTCCTGGGCAACGTGCATGTACGAGGTAAAGGACGCGACGACACGGACGCCGGCCGCGCGCTGCGAGAGCGCCATTGCAATCAGTGGGCCAAAGCTCTCGCGCGTCGCCGCGTCCAGCGCATTTTCGCCGAGGCATGCTGTATAGAGCGCAAGGCGGCCGCGCTCGGTCGTCATGTCCACGTCAAGTGCTTTTCGCCCGAGGATCGTGTGCCGCATCGTGTTGACACCGCCGGGAAGACGGTGCTTCAAGCAGTGCGAGTCGGCAAGCTCCTTGAGTGCGCAGTTGGCCAATAGCCGGGGCACTCGGAGCGCATCTTCCGAGAGCCCACGGGCGTCGCCGAGCTCATCGACGTAGCCAGCTGCGATCTTGGCGGCCATCGTAAACACGAGGTGGATGTGACGGTCATGGTCGGTCGCCCGCGTCGTCTCTTTGAGGAACTTGGACATGGCGCGGACGAGTGGGAACGTGCGCGTGAGGTAGGTCCCCAGCCACTCCTCGAGCTTGGCTGCCATGGCATTGGGCGACGGGTCGCCAAGGGAGCTTGCGCCATTGAGAAAGTTGCGGGCCATGTACGCCGCGAGGTACACTTGCTTCCAGTCGTTGCGATCGTACATGATACGGTCCATGAGCGTCTGTTCCGCTGGCGTCGGTGGCGCGGGCTCAATGTCGCCATACTTGTCGCGTTTTGGCTTGGCTACGCGCGCATTGTCCGGCGGCGTGTGAGCTCGAGACGGCGGCTTGTGCCCTGGGTCCCGCGGTGTGCATGGCACCTTTCGTTCATGCGCCGGCATCTTGCGCGCGTGGGCTAGCGACTTGCGCGGATGCGCCTGCGGGCCATAAGACGATGGTTTGCGCGCTTGGGCCGGCGCGCTTCGAGCGCGATCGATCTTCTTGTGCTTCGGATCGCTGCGGCGCGCTCCGCCACTGCGATCGGACGTTGCCATTGATATCCTATTTCGAAGCGGTATCCGGATCCCCGGTCAACTGGAAAGCCGCTTCACATATATAGTGTTACTTTTAGGCCTGTGGCACATGCATGGCTGCACGCGCCTACGGCAAAAACTCGACCTCGTTTGGTATGATCAAGGGTCAATATACAGTTTATTGACCCTTGGTATGATGCAGCGCCGTGTGTATGGCGCCATCATGACGCGCCTCCTTCTTGACGGCGCTTGCGAATGATGCTCGTACTTGGATGTCGACTTGATTTGACCCTCGATCCGCGTGGAAAGCTGGTAAGATTGACTCGACTCATAGTCGAGTAGGACAACAATAAACTCGTCTTGTGCGTAAGGAGTCGGTCATCCTCTGTCTGGCAAACGCTCACAGAGACTTTTGTGCGTTGCGGGTCCAAAGATGACGAAATTAGTATAATGCACAAAATAGTGTATCGGTTGTCGAGACGGCGCAGTTGAAGAGTCGCGGGATCTTAGCCTAGTCGTGATGGACGACATCACGCGCTGGGTCCGCCGGCTCGTGTGCAAAGGCCTTGACGTCGACGACGACGTGTACAACCGCGTCTTTGAGGAGACGTCCAAGACCGCCAAGGTACACGCTTCGAGTCCATGCGGGCGAGGCTCATGCCCATGCAGAAGCCGCCGACCCGCGACTTGTACCGTAAGTTCTTCTCGAGCGAGACGGCTGCGGGCAACGTCCTCTTCTTCTACACGACACAATACGAGATCGACGTGGAAGGTAGCCAGCATGCGCGCTGCCATGTCTCTCATGCGTCGGCTAGTCGAGGTCGAAGAGGAGGTCGATGCGCCGCCCAAGGCGATCGCCGCCGAGGCGCCGCGCCCAGGTGCGCCTACTGCATGGACATAGAGCCTCATCAAGTGGTAGAAGAGCCGACAGCAGACGACGCGGCTAGTAGTAGTAGCAGCAACAACAACGGCTTGCCTGGTCCCGTGACCGTCGAGCAAGACGAGCGTGACTTGGCCGCGCCTGCCGAGAAGGTCAAGACGATTCGCCGCATCACGACGCGGGTATCCCTCGACCTATCGATATCATGCATGGCGTATTGATGTGCGCATGTCAGGAAGCCAAGGACATGTGCAACGTAAGCTTGAACGTGCTGCCCGTGCACGACGGCCCGTGCGTCTTTTTCATCAAGAGCGGCGACGGCCCCGTCGCGCTTCTCTCGAGCGAGGCCGAAGACATTGCGAGCAACATTGAGGTCGGGTGCTCGACAGGCGACTTGCTGTCAAACCTCGAGGGCGTCATCTGCCACGTGTTCATTCCCGTGCTCGACCCCAAGCTGCTCGCCGAGGGCGGGTACGAGACCGAGCTCACCGACGCCCACCACGCGCTCAAGGTTGCTCTCTTTATAGTCTTCCAGGAGCTACAAACGTGTGTAGGTCATTGACGCAGTCCGCAACGAGTTTCGGGGCAACCTCGTTAAATTTGCATCGCAAATCTCCAATGCGATGCAGCAGATCCAAGGCGACGTGCACCTCGTGATTCCGCCCGTCTCGATCGACAAGCCGGAAGCCTGTCTCGACGACTACGAGCTTATCAACACGGTGCCCACCACATGGAAATACCTCGGCTTCTTACCGCCCATGTAGCTCGAGCAAGCACTCGAAGAGTGGTACAAGGTCGTCGCGATGGTGGTCGACCAAGAGGCGCGCAAGGCACCAAAGCGCAAGGGTCCGTTGGCCGAAATTGAGTTTTGGCGCGAACGCAACGCGACGTTGAGTACGATTTTTGAGCAAATCAACATGCCCCACGTGCAAAAGATGCTCACGCTGCTCGAGCTCGTCGAAGCCGCGATGCTCTCGACGTTCCGGTATCATTTCTCCGAGCTCAGCAAGCAGTACATTGAAGCCAAGGACAACGTCAAGTTCCTCACGACGCTCGAGCGCCACTTCAAGAACCTCGCGGTCGGCTCGTTCGGAACGATCGCGGACACGCTGCCGTCCATGATGAACGCGATCCGCATGGTCTGGATCATCTCGCGCCACTACAACACGGACGAGCGCATGGTGCCGCTCATGGAGCGCATTGCCTCGGAGATTGCCGACAAGGTCGCCGGCGCCATCAACATTCACACGTTTCTGCGCAAGCCGCCCGAGACGGCGCTGCACGCGATCGAAGAGGCCAAGATGGTGCTTGATCTGTGGTACACGACGTACATGAAGGTCCGCGAGCGCATTGAAGCGAGCGGGACCGACCATCGATGGGAGTTTGACCGAAAGCGGCTCTTTGACCAAACCAACTACATGGCCAAGATTTGCGAAAACCTCCAAGAAGTCGCGACCGTGCTGGACCAATTCCACAAATTCCTCGGACCCGAGCTCAAGAGCGTCACGGGCGACTCGCAAGGCATTGACGACGTCATGGCGCGCGTCGAGAGTCTCATTGCGCCCTTCGAGAACGTTCCGTTTCGCATCTTTGACCGCGGCTACAAGACGAGCTGGGAGTCGGTCATGGTGCAGTTCCGCGAAAAAGTGGTCGAGATTGAGACCATGACGCGCAAGTTCATCGACACGTCGTTCCAGAAGCTTCGGTCGGCCGAGGGCGCGTTCGACTTGCTCCAGAACTTTCAAAACATCCAGTCGCGCGACTCGATCAACAAGCAAATGATGGAAAAGTACAAGGACATTTTGATGCAGTACAGCAAGGAGCTCGAGAAACTCACCGAGCAGTTTGAGCTCAACAAGGCGCGACCGCCGATCTACAAGTCGCACCCGCCCGTCGCCGGCGCGATTGCGTGGGCCCGGGCGCTCTACCACCGCGCCAAGAAGCCCATCATGCGCTTCCGGGCCATGCACGATTTGCTCAAGTCGCCCCACGGCGAAGAAGTCAAGGAGAAATACCTCGTGTTTGCGCGCGCCGTCGACGCCTACATCCGCGGCCTCCATCTCGAGTGGAAGGAAAAGGTGCCGTCCATGACCAACGAGCATCTCAAGCAGCCGATCCTGGGGCCGCCGCTCCTTGAGACGAGCAAGATCGAGAACGGGTCGCCTTTGCTCAAGCTGCCGCCGCCGCCGTTTTACCCCAACTTTGCACCCGAGCTCTCGATGATCATCCGCGAAGCCAAGTACATGGACCGGCTCGGCTTTGACATTCCTGAAGAGGCGCTCAACGTGACGCTCCAAGAAGGCAAGTACCACCAGATTGTGCAGGACCTCAAGGGCATGCTCAAGCAGTACGACGCGCTCCTCAAGAGCCTCTCGCCCGTCGAGACGTACCTTCTCCGCGGGCAGCTCAAGGACCTCGACGATGCGCTCCGCGTCGGCTTTTACCCGCTCAACTGGAACTCGCAGCGCATTTTTTCGTTCATTGAAGCGTCGCTGAAAGCGCTCAACCAGTTTGGCAACATTGTCTCGCAAGTCCACAAGAGCGCCAAGATGATCGAAGAGGTCGTCGTCACGATTGAGAACACGATGCTCATCAAGATCAGCGACTACGAAGACGGCGTCGTGACCGAAGTGGGCGAGTTTTACGAGCTCATGGAGCGCAACCGCGTCGCGCGCATTGACGAGCTCGTGCAAAACTACAGGAGCATCGGGCCGCTGCTCATCAAGGTCGAGGAGGTCGTCGCGGGCGTCAACACGGGGTGCAGTCCCAAGCTCGCGACCTACTACATGTACTGGGAGCGGCGCGTGTTCAACGCGATCACAAAGATGATCATTGGCTCGATGACGACGTTCCAAGCGCTTTTGAACGTGCACCAAAAGGACGTCTTTCGCCAAAACAACAACAACGCGCACGAAGCCAACAAACTCAAGCGCCCACCGCTCTGCAAGATCAAGGCTACCATGAACGGCAAGGACATTGTCGTGACGCCGACGCTCAGCGACATGTACAAGTACCTCAGCAAGTGCGTCAAGCACATTGTCGAGAGCGCCAAAGCATTTGCACGCTGGATGCACGGTACTTGCCGCGAAACCGAGCCCCAAGTCGCGTCCGAGGACGACGAGCCCGTCACGTTTACGTTCTACAATGACATTTCGCAAAACCCGTATGTGATCAAGATGACTCTCTCGCTCAACCAAGAGATCCACAAGGTCTTCAACATCATCAACAAGTACCTCGACTCGTGGCGCCGGTACGACACGGTCTACGCGCTCTGGAACCCGAAACGTCGCGCGGCCTTGGACAAGCTCGCCGACAAGAAGCCGAGCTGCGTCTACTTTGATGCGCGCATGGCGTCGTATGCGCGCCTCGCCGATAGCGTGCGTAGCCAGCCGACTGAGAAGGAAACGGACTTTCTTCAAATCAACTGCTTTGCGGTCGCAGTGGCGATTGCCAAACAGGCCGAAAAGTGGAAGGACGACTATGGTCAGATTTTGCTGGAGCTCTCGACCAAGAAGCTCGCGGCCAGCGTCGCCATCATGGACGGCTTTGAGAAGGAGCTGGTGGCGGCGCCGACGGACCTTGCGTCGCTCAAGGCGTTGTTGAATACGATTGCGCGCATCTCAGCCTCGAGTATGGAGATGGAGCTCGACTACTGCGACATTGCCGAGCGGTACCGGACACTGCAAACGTACGCGATCGCGATGCAAGACGGCGGCGCCGAGGCCACGCGCGCGTTTGAGCTCGAGTCGCGCTGGAAGAGCCTCGTGATCGCGAGCAAGACCAAGGATCTACGGCTCATCCACGTCAAGGACCAGTTCCGCGTCGTGACCAAGCAAGACACGGCGGCGTTTGCGATCGACTGCAAAGCGATGCGGTCCGACTTTTTTTCGACTGGACCTGGCGGAACACTCTCCGACTTGGACGCAGGCTTGGAGCTCGTGACCGAGTACAAGGCGCGGCTCATGGCGTTCAAGAACAAGCGCCAAGAGCTCGTGAATGCCGAGAACCTCTTTAGCCTTCCGTTGAGCGCGTACCCCGAGCTCCAAGAGGTGGCCGAAGCGCTCGAGAAGCACGAGCGCGTGTACGCACTCTATATTGAGCAAAAGGAGTTTATCACGGGCATGTCGGGCGTGCTCTGGGGGGAACTCGACGTTGGCTTCATGACCAAGGGCATCGACGAGCTCGAAAAGACGTGCCGCAAGTTTCCCAAGGAGCTTCGCGCGATGGCGACGTTCCAAGAAGTTGAAAAGCAGATTTTTGCGTTCAAGGAAAGCATCCCGCTCATTGCGTCGCTCAAGAACGACGCGATGAAGCCGCGGCATTGGGAAGAGCTCATGGGCGTCACGCAGGTCAAGTTTGAAATGAACCTCAAGACGTTTACGCTCGGCAATCTCTTTGCGATGCAACTGCACCGGTTTGCAGCCGAGATTGGTGACATTGTCAATGCCGCGATGCAAGAAGCCAAGATCGACATGGAGCTCCAAAAGATCGAGGACGTGTGGGCCAAAGCGACGTTTGAAGTCGCCAAGTACAAGAAGAACGGGACAGACCGTGGCTGGGTGCTCCGCACCGCGGACGAGCTCAAATTGACGCTCGAAGATCACATGCTCAACCTCCAGACGATGAGCGGGTCGCGCTTCATTGCGAGCTTCTCGGACCGCGTCCGCAAGTGGGAGAAGAAGCTCAACATCGTCAACGAGTGCATTGACGTGTGGTTTGTCGTTCAGCGCAAATGGATGTACCTCGAGAGCATCTTTATCGGCGCCGAAGACATTCGGCTCCAGCTCCCGGAAGAAGCCAAGAAGTTTGATGCGCTGGACAAGGCGTGGAAGGGCATCATGGCGGCCACATACAAGAACGCAAACGCTGTCGATGCGTGTACGACCGACAACCGTACCGAGACCCTCCTTGGGCTGTCCGAGCGCTTGGACAAGTGCCAGAAAAGCCTTAGCGACTACCTCGACACGAAGCGGAATTCGTTTCCGCGCTTCTTCTTCATCTCGGACGACGAGCTCCTCTCGGTGCTTGGGTCGTCGGACCCGACGTCGATTCAAGTGCACATGCTCAAGCTCTTTGACAACGTCAAGCTCCTAACGTTTGCGCGCAACAACCGCAACGTGACGGCCATGGAGAGCTCGGAAGGCGAGGGCTTTGCCTTTCGGACCGTCTCGGTCGTCGAAGGACCCGTCGAGCAGTGGATGACCGGTGTCGAAGACGAGATGCGTGCGACGCTCCAAGTGATCGCCAAGGAAGGCGTCTTTCATTACGCGCGGTCGCCGCGGACAACGTGGCTCGGTGACGTCCTCGGCATGGTGGGTCTCGTTGGCAGTCAAATCTGGTGGACGTGGGAGGTCGAAGACGTCTTTCATCGCGTGGCCGGCGGCAATAAATATGCAATGAAGGAGCTCGAGGTGAAGCTCACGGGGCAGCTCAACGACCTCGTGCGTCAAGTGCGCGAGCCCTTGCCCAAGCAGACGCGCAAGAAGGTGAATACGCTTCTCATCATCGACGTCCACGCGCGCGATATCGTCGACGCGTTCGTTCGGGACTCGATCTTGCACGAAAAAGAATTCGCTTGGGAGTCGCAATTGCGCTTTTACTGGGACAAGGACGTCGACGACGTCGTCATCAAACAGTGCACGGGCACCTTTCGCTACGGCTACGAGTATATGGGTCTTAACGGTCGGCTCGTCATTACGCCACTCACCGATCGCTGCTACATGACGCTGACACAAGCGCTGACATTCAAGCTTGGCGGGTCTCCCGCGGGGCCAGCCGGGACGGGCAAGACAGAGACGGTCAAAGATCTCGCCAAGTCACTCGCGCTGCCGTGCTACGTCATCAACTGCGGCGAGGGCCTCGACTACAAAGCCATGGGCAGCATCTTCTCGGGGCTTGTTCAAGTCGGCGCGTGGGGCTGCTTTGACGAGTTCAACCGCATCAACATCGAAGTACTTTCCGTTGTCTCGGCGCAACTGCGAGCGATCCAGAATGCGCTCAACACGGACAAGCCAACGGTCGACATTGGCTTTGGCACAGAAATCGCGATTCATCGCACAGCAGGGTTTGCAACCTGCGGCTTCTTTATCACGATGAACCCGGGGTACGCGGGCCGCACCGAGCTCCCAGACAACCTCAAGGCGCTCTTCCGCCCCGTGACAATGATTGTGCCGGATCTGCTCATGATCTGCCAGATCATGCTTTTTAGTGAAGGCTTTGAGAACGCGGTGGCGCTCGCGAAGAAGATGACGGTGCTCTACAAGCTCTCGCGCGAACAGTTGAGCAAGCAGTACCACTACGACTTTGGGCTCCGCGCACTGAAGAGCGTGCTCGTCATGGCCGGTTCCCTCAAGCGCGAGTACAGCGACATGAGCGAAGACTTGGTGCTCATGCGCGCGCTGCGCGACTCGAATATGCCAAAGTTCGTCTTTGAAGACGTTCCGCTTTTCCACGGCCTCATCAACGATCTCTTTCCTGGGCTCGACTGCCCGCGCGTGGGGTACGCCACGCTCAAGGACGCGATCGAAGCCGACTTGGACGCGGGCGAATACCGGACCACGGATGCCGCTGTCTTTCGGGAACAGACGGACAAGATCATTCAAATGTACGAGACGATGCTGGTCCGGCACACGACCATGATCGTCGGCCCGACCGGCGGTGGCAAGTCGCTCGTGCTGCAGACGCTGGCAAATGCGTCCAAGGTCGCGCTCGACGAAATCGTCAAGATCTTTGTGCTCAACCCGAAAGCGCAGTCGGTCGCTGAATTGTACGGCACGATGGACCCAGTCACTCGCGACTGGACGGACGGTGTTCTTTCCAAGCTCTTTCGAGAGCTCAACCAGCCGCTGCCACCCGGAAAGGAAAACGAAAAACGCTGGCTCATCTACGACGGCGACGTGGACGCTGTCTGGGTCGAAAACATGAACTCGGTCATGGACGACAACAAGTTGCTCACGCTACCGAACGGCGAGCGTATTCGCCTCCAAACGCACTGCAGCATGATCTGCGAAACATTCGACTTGCAGTATGCGTCGCCGGCGACCATCTCGCGTTGTGGCATGGTGTGGGTCGACCCAAAGAACCTCGGGTACCGTCCGTTCTACGAGCGCTGGCTCAAGAAGCGCACCAAGCTCGACGACAAAGGCCCGCTTTTAGAGCTTTTTGACCAGTATGTACCCAAGTGCGTCGACTACATTCTCGAGGGTACAGTTGGCACCGAAGTCGTCGGTCGCCTCACCCAAGTGATTCCGATCTCCAACATGGAAATGTGCAAGCAGTTGACGAACGCGATCGACAGCTACTTTCCGGAAGCGCCCCTCGAGCGCATGGACATTGAAGGTCTCTTTCTCTTTTGCCTCGTGTGGTCGCTCGGCGCCGCGCTCATCGAGCCCAGCCGCGTCCGCTTTGACGAGTTTCTCAAGACGATCGCGACTTGCGCGATGCCAACGCCGTCGCTTTACGCCTGCTTTTACAACTTTGAGACGCACAAGTGGCAGACGTGGGACTCGCGCGTGCCCTCGTACGTTGAGCCGGCGCCGTTCAACTTTTCCAACGTGCTCGTGCCAACGACAGACTCGGTCTTGTACTCGTACATTCTTGCGACAGGCATGAAGACGGAGCGCCCGGTCCTTCTCGTTGGCGACTCGGGCACGGCCAAGACCGTGACGGTGACCAACTATCTCCGCGAACTCGACCCGCAGACCACGTCGTCGCTCAGTATCAACTTTTCAAGCCGGACGAGCTCGGCCGACGTGCTCGCCAACATCCAAGCCAACGTTGATAAGCGCACGGGCAAAATCTACGGCCCGCCCGCGGGCAAGAAGCTCGCTATCTTCATCGACGACATGAACATGCCCAAGGTCGACTTGTACGGCACGCAGCAGCCCATCGCGCTCCTTCACTTTGTCGTGAGCAAAGGCTGCATGTACGACCGTGGCAAAGATTTGGACCTGCGCATCCTCAAGGATTTGCTCTACATTGGTGCCATGGGTCCGCCAGGCGGTGGCCGCAACAACGTCGACCCACGGTTCGTCGCACTCTTCAACGTGTACAACTTGACGCCACCGACAAAAGACGTTTTGCGCAACATTTACGGCTCGATTCTGACGACATATCTCCGCAACTTTGCGCCGCCCGTGCAGGAGGCTGGCGCCAAGCTCACGGACGTCCTTCTCCGCCTCTTTGACGTAATTGTCGAGAAGCTGCCGCCGACACCGTCAAAGTTTCACTACATCTTTAATCTCCGAGACCTCGGCCGCGTCTGCGAAGGCGTGTGCATGGCGACGCCCGACCGATTCGACTCGTCGGCCAAGCTTGTTCGACTGTGGCGCAACGAGGTGCAACGCATTTTTTGCGACCGCCTCACGAGCACGACCGACCTCGGCGTTGTCGACAGCGCTACTGCAGGCCTTCTCAACGAGGTGTTTCCGTCCGAAGCACCCGTCGCGCTCGTGGACCCTCTGCTCTTCGGGGACTATGCGGACTGTCGAAATCGGCTCGGCGGTGGCGGTGGCGAAGACCTCCGATTGTATCAGGACATGGACTCGTACAAGCGGATCCAGTCGCTCTTTGAGGAAGTGCTCGAGACGTACAACCTCGACAACAAGCCAATGGCGCTCGTGCTTTTCGAGATGGCGCTGGAGCATCTCTCGCGTATTCTGCGCATCATTCGCAACCCGCTCGGGCACGCGCTACTGATTGGCGTCGGCGGCAGTGGGAAGCAGAGCTTGTCGCGCCTCGCTGCGTTTACTGCGGGCTACGATCTCTTTGAAATTTTCCTCACGCGCGGCTACGGAGAAACCGAGTTTCGGGAAAACCTCAAGGATTTGTACCGGAAACTCGGCAAATCGCCCGTCGTCTTTTTGTTTACCGACGCCCATGCGGTTGAGGAAGGGTTTCTCGAGTTCATCAACAATATGCTCACGACCGGTATCGTCCCGGCGCTCTTTGAGCAAGACGAGAAGGACCAGCTCGGCGCCACCGTGCGGCAAGAGGTCAAGGCGGCGGGTTTGGTCGAGTCGAACGAGAATTGCTGGAAATTTTACGTCCAGCGCTGCCGCCAGAACCTGCACGTCGTGCTCGCCATGTCACCGTCGGGCACGACGCTGCGCGTGCGCTGCCGGAACTTCCCCGGCCTCGTCTCGGCGAGCGTCATTGATTGGTTCTTCTCGTGGCCCGAAGACGCGCTTCGGAATGTGGCGCGCTACTTCTTGCTCGACGAGAAGATTCCCGAAGAGCACCGGCCCGAAGTCGTCAACCACCTCGTCCACGCCCACTTGCGCGTCGTGACGGTCGCGCACCGCTTTGCGGTCGAGTTGCGCCGCCACTATTACGTGACGCCCAAAAACTACCTGGACTTTATCGCCAACTATCGGCTGCAGCTCAAGGAGAACAACCAAAAGGTCAACGCCAGTATCGCGCGCCTCAAAGGCGGCTTGACCAAGCTCGTGGAAGCCAGCTTGGCCGTCGACCGCATGCAAATCGAACTTAGCGAGAAGAAGATCATTGTCGACGAGAAGACAGTCGCTTGCGAAGCGCTCATCAAAACGATTGGCGAAAAGTCGGCGATTGCGAGCAAGCAGCAAGAAGTGGCTGCGATCACCCAGATCGAGTGCGAGAAAGCGAGCGTCGTCATTGCCAAAGAAAAGGAGGAGGCTGACGCCGCGCTGCTCGAAGCGCTGCCGGCGGTTGAAGCCGCGGCGCAGGCGCTCCAGGACCTCTCGAAAGCCGACTTGACCGAAATCAAATCGTTTGCGTCCCCGCCCGCGCTCGTCATGTCGGTGTGCATGTGCGTGCTCATTCTGCGGCCGACAGGTCAAGACCTCGACTTGGACTGGAAGGGTGCCAAGGTCATGCTCAGCAACCCAAACATGCTCAACTTGCTCAAAGAGTACGAGAAGGACAAGATCACGGCCAAGATGATCTCCAAGATCAAGACGTTCTTCAAGAACCCGGACCTCAACCTCGAAACGATGAAGTCGATCTCCAAAGCCGGATCCGGTCTCCTAGTGTGGGTCATTGCCATCGTCAAATACTACGACGTTGCGCGCAATGTCGAGCCGCTCAAACTCAAAGTCAAAACGATGGAGAAGGAGCAAGCCGTCAAAGAGCAAGAGCTGCTTGAGCTCAAAGAAACACTGGAGCGGCTCACGGTCGACCTCAACGGCCTCTCGTCGGCGTTTGAAGCTGCCAATGGCGAACTCCAGGGCCTGAAGTCCCAAGCCGACCAGATGCAAAAGCGATTGAGCGCCGCGAGTAAGCTTCTCTCGGGTCTTGCAAGCGAGAAGACGCGCTGGACCAAGGACATTGAGAGCTTGAACCTCCAAGGCGAGCGGCTCATCGGCGACTGCCTCCTCACCGCGAGTTTTCTCAGTTATGCCGGCGCGTTCAGCTTCGACTACCGCTACGAACTGATCTACGTCGACTTTTTGACCGACGTGACGGGCCGGAAGTTACCGGCAACAGACCCGTTCAAGCTCGAGAGCTCGCTGACCAACGACGCGACCGTGCAAAAGTGGGTCGCGGAGGGCCTCCCGGCAGACGAGCACTCCGTGCAAAACGGTATTTTAACGACCAAAGCATCGCGCTTTCCGCTGTGCATTGATCCGCAGCAGCAAGCCGTCACGTGGATCAAGCGACGCGAAGAGAAGAACAACTTGACGGTCAAGACGCTCAACGACGGCGATTTCATGAAGCATCTTGAACTCGCGATTCAGTTTGGCAACCCGTTCTTGTTTGAGGCCGTCGACGAAGAGCTCGACCCGATTTTGGACCCGGTCCTTGAAAAAAGCACGTTCATGGAAGGCTCCCAGCGGCTCATCAAGCTCGGCGACAAGAACGTCGAGTGGGACGCCAACTTTCGACTCTACTTTACGTCCAAGCTCGCCAACCCGCACTACTCGCCCGAAGTTATGGGTAAAACCATGATCGTCAACTACTCGGTGACGCAGGCGGGTCTCGCCAATCAACTTTTGAACGTCGTTGTCGCCCACGAACGCCCGGACCTCGAGGAGCAGTACCGCGAGCTCGTGCGCGACATGTCGGAGAACACGCAAATGATCGTCGAGCTCGAAGACACGCTGTTGCACGAGCTCTCGACGTCGACGGGCAACATCTTGGACAACGAAGAGCTCATTGTGACGCTGGACGAGACCAAGAACAAGGCGACCGAGATCGGCTCGAAGCTCGACATGAGCAAGTTTACAAAGGATGAAATCACAAAGGCGCGCGCCGTGTACTCGCCGGTCGCGCTACGCGGCAGTATCATGTACTTTGCCATGTCGTCGCTCTCGACCATCATGAAGATGTACGAGATCTCGCTCACCTCGTTTTTGACGGTCTTCAACTCAGCGCTCGACAACGCCAAGCGCGACGTGGTCTTGGAGAAGCGACTCCGCTTCATGATCCAAAGCATCACCGAAATGATGTACGACTACACGTGCACCGGCATCTTTGAGCGCCACAAGCTCATGTTGTCGTTCCAAATGACCGTCATGATCATGGCAAGCGCCAACGAGCTCGCGCGACCGGAGCTCGATTTTTTCCTCAAGGGCGACACGTCGCTCGAGGCGGCGACCGTCAACAAGCCGGACGGCCTCGTCTGGATCGCGGCTGCTGGCTGGAAAGACTTGCTCTGCCTCACCAAGATGGCCGGGCCGTTTGAAACGCTCTTGAGCGACGTCACGACGCACAAGCGGGCGTGGCAAGAGTGGTACGAGCTCGAGGCGCCCGAGCAAAGTCCGTTCCCGTGCGACTACACGACCAAGCTCTCGCCGCTCCAGCAGCTTCTCATTTACCGCTGCTTTCGCCAAGATCGCGTCTACAACGCCATGAAGCTCTTTGTCATGGCAGTCCTCGGCGAAAAGTACGTACAGCCGCCCGTCTTGGACTACGCGCGGATTTACGCTCAGAGCGCGCCGACCGCGCCGATTGTGTGCATTCTAAGTCCCGGGGCCGACCCGCAGAGCGACATCCAGACGCTCGGGGAGGCCACGGGCTTCTCGGGCCACAAATTTAAGTTTTTGGCGCTCGGCCAAGGCCAAGGACCGCTCGCCGAACAAATGCTCGAGGCAGGCTACACGCGCGGCCACTGGGTGCTATTGCAAAACTGCCACTTGCTCGCGAGTTGGCTACGGACGTTGGAGAAGACGCTGCTGGCGATGCACAAGCCGCATAAAGACTTTCGTCTCTGGCTCACGACCGAGCCCACGGATCGGTTTCCGCTCGGCATTCTCCAGCGGTCCCTCAAGGTCGTGACTGAGCCACCAGACGGGCTCAAGCAGAACATGCGGTCGCTCTACTCGAAACTCGACGAAGCCCTCCTCGACGAGTGCCCGCACCCGGCGTTTAAACAAGTCGTGTTCGTCTTGTGCTTCTTGCACGCTGTCGTGCTCGAGCGCCGGAAATACGGCAAAATCGGCTGGAACGTGAGCTACGACTTTAACGAGTCGGACTTCAACATTTCGCGCAAGCTGCTCTCGCTCTACTTGCACAAGGCGTTTGTCGACGGCGACGAGCAGCTGCCGTGGGGGTCCCTCAAGTATCTCATTGGCGACGCCATGTACGGCGGGCGCGTCTCGGACGACTACGACCGGCGTGTCCTCACGACGTATCTCTCCGAGTACATGGGCGACTTCCTCTTTGACGACTGCCAGCCCTTCTTCTTTAGCCGGTCCGGCTTTGACTACCGGCTCCCGGTGGACGGACCGCTTGAGTCATACTTGGCGACTGTCGAGGCGCTGCCGCTCACGAATTCGCCGGCCGTCTTTGGCTTGCACCCGAACGCAGAAATCGGGTACTACACCAACATGACCAAGTCTGTGTGGCGCGACCTGATCTCGCTCCAGCCGCGCTCGGCGGGCAGCGGCGGCGGTATCTCGCGCGAAGACTACATTACGAGCATCGCGACCGACATCGAGTCCAAGGTACCCGAGGCCGTCGACGTGAGTTTGATCCGGAAGCGGCTCGGGGGCACACCGACGCCGACCCAAGTCGTGCTATTGCAGGAGCTCGACCGCTGGAACGTGCTCACGGCCAAGATGGCCACATCGCTCGGGGACCTACAGAAGGCGCTCATAGGTGAAATCGGTATGAGCGACGAGCTCGACGCGGTCGGGTCGGCCCTCTTTGACGGGTTCTTGCCAAATATGTGGCGGAGTCTGTGCCCGAAAACAGAAAAGCCGCTCGGGAGCTGGATGGTCCACTTCATGCAGCGCTACGCGCAGTACATGAACTGGATCGAGCATGGAGACCCCGCGGTCATGTGGCTCTCGGGCCTTGGCATTCCAGAGAGCTACCTCACGGCGCTCGTCCAAACGACTTGTCGCGCCAAGAACTGGCCGCTCGACAAGAGCACGCTGTATACGACGGTCACCAAGTTCCGCGCTGCGGCCGAAATACCCTCGAGGCTCGACTCGGGCTGCTACGTCTCGGGGCTCTACCTTGAGGGCGCGTCGTGGGACCTCGAGAAGGGCTGTCTCTGCCAGCAGCAGCCCAAGAAACTGGTCGAAGAGCTCCCAATCCTCCAAGTGATCCCGATCGAAGCAAGCCGCCTCAAGCTCCAAAACACATTCCGGACACCGGTGTACGTGACGCAGTCGCGACGCAACGCGATGGGCGTCGGGCTCGTCTTTGAAGCCGACCTCTTCACGAGCGACCACATGTCCCACTGGGTTCTCCAAGGGGTCGCACTTGCGCTCAACACGGACTCGTAGTCGATAGAGATGTGACTTCGTCCAATATTATGTACAAATACCGATCACTCGGCGGCGTTGCGCAGTGCAAGCCCGACGCGGTGGCGCTCGGCCTGCTTGGCCTCGAGCTCGGCTACATGTTCGCTCGGTGAGGCCATATTGGCATCTTGCTGAGCATGGTACCTTTCTTGGCCTTGACCAGCACATCGCGCTTCTGGACGAAGAAGACGTTGCAGCGCTGGACGTACGTCGCCTACGCCATGTTGTTGTCGTCGTCGCGCATGGCAGGAGCATGGACGTACCTTCTTGGGCTTGACCGAGTCGAGCTCCGCCAGCGCCACGTTAAGGTTCTGGATCTACATGAGAGCGTGAGCTTAGGACGCGCCGGTCACAGCAGCACGCACGTCCTTGTCGAGGGCCTTGGCGTCCAGCGCCCACTTGTCCTTGAGCACGCTGCTGTTGCTGTCCATCGCCGCTTCAAGTGGACCCAATGATAAATGTGGCAGATGCCAGCTAGGAGATGTCCTATCTGGGCATTTCTTGAACAAGGATATCCAACCATAAACAATGTATACCATACAGAATATAAGATAATAGATTACCATCACTCTGCTCACGATCCGAAGCTCTCTTGGCATTTGTATCGGACGCCAAGAAGATTATTTGGTCAAAGATTGTACCAGCGCGAGAAGCATGGACGCCAGCGGGTCGACGACCTTCTTCGCCGCCCTGCACGACAGCGACGACGTGCTCGTTCTGCTCGTCATCTGCGCTTCCGCCGTCGTAGGCCTGGCCATCGTTCTCTGCTTCGTCTCGCGCTTCTGCGTCTGCCTCGGTGACTGCTGCGAGTGCCTCCGCCGGTGCCTCTGCCAGCCCAAGAAGCCGCACGCTGCCCGCGTCTCGCTCTTCGTGCACCAGCAGCGGCGAAGCGTGCGCGATGTAGACGCCGACTTTATGGAGCCCTTCCTCGGGCCGCCCGCCTACGAGCAGCCCTACGACGAACTTAGCCCGCCGTCCTATCGCAATTTGCCGTCGGCGCCTCCGCTCTCGCCTTAGCGATGCGATCCATCATCATGTCACGTGGTCGTAATGAAGTATTCATTTTATGACGCTGTCGACGGCGCGGCAGGTGGCTCCTGGTGCATGCGCCAGACCTAGACAGATTGGCTCAGCCGCGCAACGAGGAGCGGAGCCGTACTTGCGCGAGCAGCTCATAGACGCGGTCGACGTCCGACGGCAGCGTGAGCTTGACGACGTCGCCACTGACCAGCGCAAGCGAGATGACGCTGAGCCCGAGCACGACGGGCTTCTCAACCCTACAGGAGCGTGAGCAAAAACTCACGTCGTGGCAGATGCCAACTTGAGGATCGTCTCGAAAGGAAGGTCCTTCGTGGAGGCAAACATAAACATGCCGCATTTGCAGACGATGCGCCTAAGATTCGGCATCAGATCGTCCTGTGCTGAGAGCCCCACGACTTACTCATAAGTGATCAAGAGCTTGGACGGGATCTTCCCGACCATGCACGCGCCTTCAAACAAGACGACGCCGTCGCCGTACTCGCTCGACCTACCCAGTTCTGGCCAATGTATATCGATGCGTAGGCGTCTACCCGAGCGCAGTCTGCAGCGAATGGGCGTCTTGGGCCGTAGCACTAGGCGCCGGTCAACCCAGAGATCCGGCTCGGCAAGTACCTCTGGACGACGCTGGCAATCGCAGTCGCCGCCAGTTCTTTCGCGAGCGTTGCGCGGTGCGTGACTTGCGCTTGCTTCTCTGCAAGCTTGGCTTGGATACCAAGGCGGTTCCGGGTCGCCATGCTCTCCCAGAGATCGTGCACAAGCCGTGCGACCTGCTCTCCGCGCGAGAGCGTACTAATTAACGAGGCCTCCTTGGCTTCTTCGGCGTCGGGCGACGTGTCGGCGAGATCGAGCTGGCGCCGTGACGTGGATGCCGTTGCACTCTCACGCCGAGGCTTTGGGAGGCTGTACTTTGTAAAGAGCGGCTCGAGAAGACTCAGAACGTGCGCGACAGCGAGCTCTTCAGTGTGCGCGTACTCTTCAAGCGGCAACGCCAGCTCCCGCAAGCTCGCCTTCATCTCGCTACCTCATGGCGCATATGAGACGCCTTCAACACATACTAGAAGCAAACGTGTCAAAGGCGCGCCGGACGTTGGCGACGTAGTCCGGGTCCAGTGCGATCAAGTCGTCGCCTGCGCAGACATTGACAACGTATGTCAAGGGACACAAAACGTACTGGTATCGTCTGCGTCGCAAAAGGCCGGCGTCGAGAGCATGGCCAGCGCATACCCCACTTCGACGAGCGCGGCGCGGAGACGGTTGAAGAGCGCGTCGGCGCGGGCGTGCAGCGCAGGATCGGACGCGGTGCTCAACGTCGGCGCGCCGCCCGAGACGCCCACGTACATACGCAGCACGCGAAGCTTGGACTCGGACACGCCAAGACACGTGAAGACATGCTCCGTCTTGGCCGGAAAGAGCGCGTTCGCCGACATCTGCAACGTGGACGTCGTCGGCTCGACAACGACATTTGTAAAGAGCTGGGTCCCGCGGGCCATGGTCGCATCAGCGTCGCTCACCTTGAAGCCGTCCGTGAGTACAATGGTGGCAAGAAGCTCATGGATAGCCGCCATGGCCACATCCGGGCGCAGCCGACCTTCGAAGATGACCCACTCCTTGGCGGCGACGGGGCAGTCGCGCAGCCACGTCTTGGCGGCCTCAAGGTCTTCCGGCAACGGCGCAGATCCAGTGAGCGGCGTGAGCTTTGTAAAGTCGGGGTGTGTGGCGTAAACGGCCGGCGCGAACGAGGCATCTGTCAAGATCTCGGTGGTCTGCTGCGCCAAGGCGCTGAGCGAGAGCGCGTCAGAGGGCGCTGCGAAGGCCATCGACGGCGCCTCCAGCATCTTGTCGACGTCAACGCGCGTGCTGCTGCTTTCGTCGTCGTCGCGCTCGCTAAGGCCAAACTCGGACGCTTCCTCGTTCATCATCTTGCTGTCTGCCATGCTGCAAGATGGACGTGCCAGAAATAGGCCGGATCTTGTCTCAATAAAATAAAATAAATGGTGCACGTGTTTTTTAATATATTCTTTTACTCTACCCAGGTGTTTTAAATACCTTGTTCGGTTAAAAGAACGCGATCCGCGGGACTTGAATGACGTGCACGATGATCCCAGACCATCAAAGGCAACGACCTCCAACATCATTGCGCCCAGACGTGTAAGCGACGTCGCCTGCTGGTACTAAATTACTACCGCAGATGGATCCCAGGACCATTTTTCTTTAAAGCCGGTCGCCCGGGTCCTTTCCAAATAGCTCATGAAGTAGACAACGCGAGCGCAATATCGCACTTGGAGCAGGCGATAATAGATAGTCGACGGCTGGCGCGGACAGTATTAGTGACGCCAAGGGAGTGCTAACGACCGTCGTCGTCCACATAGCGAGGTGCTCCAAACACTGCTACAGTAATATGAGCTCGAGGGCCCCATCGTGGTTGTGTTGCACGTACATTAGGTAATCGAAGGCCGTTGTTGCTGGCTTTTCTGGACGACCGCTCCAAGCGCCTCGTTACGGATAGCAAAGGGTGCTGCGTCGTGGACCCCAACCTCACAACTGACCCTACCATTGAGACCACAGCAATGGACGTTGCGTTGCTTGGAAGCGAAGCCAGACATTACACCGTTATCAATTCGCGACCGCTGATTGGTCAAAAGAATGGCATGTCGACTTGCACCATTTCGGAACAAGCCAGCATGGGGATCGAGAGCCAAGCTTGGTCGCTGCCGCTGCGCATCACGATGGCCGTCGCTTTGGCCGCGATGCTTGTCGTCAATGGCATCCACAGCGTCAGCGGCGACATGCGCATCGCGGCGCTGGCGAATCCGAACCTCCTCACGCCGTCGACCATGTTTTTTGTGCTCCTCGGGCCCATCTACGTCAGCCTTGTCGGCTTTGTTGGGCGCGAGTGCTACGCGCCCAACACGACGATCCCTGCCATGCACCGCGTGTACGTCTGCTTCATTCTCAGCTGCGTCTGCAACGTCGCGTACCTCTCGTGCTTTGTGGGCGGGTACACGCACGTGGCGTTCGTCGCGATCTTCATCATGTGGCTCGCACTCTTTGCCGCCTACTTGGTCATCGAAGACAGCGTCGAGCCGATCGTGGTCACGTCAATGCTGCTCAGTAGCAACGCCAACCACGCCTTTGCGACCTCGTCGCTGGCCGACGTGCTCTGGATCCGAACGCCGCTGACGCTCTACTGGGCGTGGACGTGCGCGGCCGCGACGGTCGCGCTCAACGTCTCGATCGAAGCGCTCGGCGTGCACGAGATGAGCATCTACATCTTCTGGTGCGGCATGTGGGTGCTCGCCAACACGCTTATTCTGATTGGCACGGGCGACGTGCCCTTTGCGTTTGTCGCATTCTACACGCTGTTGGCGATCGCGCGCAAGTCGGCCGAGCTCACGGACCGCCTCGTGCCGCAAAACCCCAATTATACCGAGCACTACGCGGTGCAGGTCATGGCAACCGTCGGCGCCTTCGTCTTTGGCAGTCTCTTTGTCTTTCTCGTGCTCCACAAATGGTGGCGCGGTGATGCGTTTCCGCGGTATGTACCTCGAATGGTCTACAGATGACAGTTCGAATGTGTTGCTGTAGCCTCTTGTCGGCGTCTTCGCGAGGCACGTACGGCTCCCTCCCATAAGCAAACGTTCCGGCCGAGCGGCGTCATGCTGCGCTCCACGCACCACGGTCATAATGAGGGCCTCGCAGCGAGCAGATGCTTCCTGCCGTTTAGGAATAACGTCGTTTGCATCACTCAATATACGTACTACTGTTGTATACTCTTTGCCTTCTCGACTTGATGTACAGGGTATAAATGAAGTACGTGTCGATGGGAGCCCCATCGAGCCGCCACCGTAGTCCCATCACTCGGTGCAACGGCTGCACATTTTGCAATGGCTTGCGAGGTCGGATCGCAGCGAAGGAATATTTTGCCTTTGGTTGCTTCGAAGGTGGTGCTTTTGTCGTCATTGCTCACGGGCTACTTACATCACACAAACCCTAAAAAAATGAGCATAATATATACGATGAGTATGCACAACATCTCTTGCACTACGACGACGACAACGACACTTGACGAATAAGGAGCCACGGGCCTACACGGCCGTCGTAGCGCGAAAAGCAATGTCGATGGCCATGCCGTACGGTGCCTCGGGCTTGGGCGCGAGGCTGTTGTTGACGGTCCCAAACACGTGGCTCGTCGGCGCGTGGACGTTCATGAGCTCGAGCTTCTCGTCGTCGTGCTCTTCTTGCAATAGCCGGTCGGCTTCGTCCTCGTCGTCTTCGACCGCCACCGTCCGCGAGTGACGGGATTCGCTCGTCGTTTCTTCCTTGGCGGCAGCGGTCGGCCCTCGGTACAAGTTGGCAAGCATGCCAACCACGGCAATGACGAGGCCAACGTACTGCAGCGGCGCCAGAACGTGGCCAAACACCCATATGCTCACGGCCATCGTCAGGATCTTTCGAGCCGTCCCGACCATGCTCGTCATGAGCGCGCCAAAGTGGGAGATCATGAGGAAGATAAACATTTGGCCAATGCCGCCCGTGACGCCGAGCACGAGCAGGTCCGGGAGCAGCTTGGTGTGGCGCGGGAGGTCGTCCCATGTCTCGGTCGTGGCCGAGACGCTGAAAAAGACAGCCGCGAGGAGCACCGAGAAGCAGTTGATCTTGTGCATCATCGTGAACGGGCCCATTTGGTACTGCGTCATAAACTTCTCTTCCAAGGCGCCGGTCGCGCCGTCAAAGCCGAGCGAAATGAGCACGAGGAGCGCACCCAGCGCAGCGTCGGTCGCTGGTGATTCTGCGTGGCGGCGCTGCATAAACGCAAAGAAAATGATGGCGCCCAGCGTCACGAGCGCGACGCTCGCGTACTTGCGTCGCGGGTACGACTTGCCGAGGAGGAGGCCAATGGCCATGATCGGGATCGGCTTGCACGTCTTCCCGAGCACGCGAAAGATATACGAGACGTAGCGGAGAGCGAGCACCGAGAGGTACGACGAGCAAAACGTCGTGAACGAGAGGAGGAGGAACACGTGCCAAGGCGCCGTGTCGATGCGCTCACGGCCGAGGACGCGGCCGGCGTACGAGATGCAGGCGTAGATGATGCACGAGACAAACATGAGCACAAACTCGTTCGGGCCCTTGCCGTCAATCGTCAGGCGCTCGAGCAGGTACGCGTAGAGGCCAAAGCAGACAACAAGCCCGAGCGAGTAGAACGCAAAGAGGACGCCCGAGGCTGGCGCCGGCGCCGCCGGAAGGCGGAAGCACTGGAAGAAGCACTCGTACTTGTAGATCGTGAAGCGGTGCGAGCGCAGCTCAACAACGTCGTCGCTCTCTTTCGCCTGCGTGGGGTTGGCCGCGACCATGCTGGCAGAGAGGACAGATTGCAGATTGATGACGACCAAGTGCAATGTCCCAAACGAATGACATGGGACAAACAGGTTTGTCCCGGTTGTTTTGGTGGTGGCTGCGAACCACACACGTGTGAAAATCCATGCACGGTTTTTTCACGTGTTTTTCACGGGCAAGCGCGGGCGCCTCGTCCCATCCTCGCTGTCTGACACGATGAGTCGCGCGATCTTGGTGCTGCAGGGTAGGCGGTGTAGCGGGATTTGCTTGTCGACTCGCTGATAGCGGTGGGTGTTGGCGCCTCGAGAGGACCGTGCTTCTCTAGCTGGATCCACATTGCTGTGGCACTCAGGATGGCATCAGGATCCCATTGCCCTACGGCGAACGCCATAGCTTTTAGCTCGGCATACTCTAGTACTAGTAGTAGCTTCCAACGTTCTCCAGATATACAAAACAGTCAGGACACAGTTGCAGCGTTGTCGAGTCTTATTGCTATAAGAATGATCACACAAACATGAACGGCGCGATGCTCCGAAGGCAGCGGGTGTCGCTGCCACACGTTGCCGCAGCCAAGTGACTTAGCCGAGAAGGGGCGGGTAGTTGGAGCGGTCGTCCTTGACAATGACGCCGTAAAAGATGCTAAAGGCGCCGACGACCCAGAGCGTCAGCGTCGTGTAAAAGCCAAAGCCGTTGCCGAGGCCGAGCGTGAAGAAGGCGAGGAAGATGACGTAGAGGCCACTGCCAATGTAGCCTTCGAGGAGCCCAAACCATGCGAGCGGCTTCTTGAGGCCAAGGCACGCGACGGAGACGAGGACGAGCGAGAGGCCGAGGTAGTAGACACGCAGGGCCACGCGCGTCGTGAGGCTCTCGAAAGAGCCACCGTAGCCGTCGCCGATGAAGCTCCAGATGGCCGCGGTGGTCGCGAGGAGGCCGCAGACGGCGAGCGCTACTTGGTGCACTTTGCGGAAGCTGATCGCCATGGTCTTTTGCACTTCTTTTTCGGAAATGACTGCGATCTTGATACGACCCACAACGGTGCTGCACCTAATTGGCCAAAATGGATACGAATTCAGCCAATCCACATCGTCCGTGCTAGTCTTTCGGGCAATTGAAGTTGAAGCTGGGACCAAGAGCGGCCTTAGCCATCCATCACAACGCTTTCAGTCCTTCACAATGCGATAGAATGCTTGTTGTGGAGTCCTCTTTCATCAAGAGCAAATCTGTACGCTCGACCACGAACGGCACAGAGAGCCACTACGTATGCTCTTCGCTCGTGATTCTCGGCAGCTACGAGAGCTCACCGCTGCCTGCGCAGCTGAAATAGAACTCGAGGCGCGTTTGCCACAACATTTCATTTCTCGCCACGATACACGACGCGGCGCCCGTCTCCAACTGGTCGCATGTGACCAAGACACTCGAACCAACGCCAATGCCCAAAGGCGCGCCGCCAGGACCAACGGCTGACGATTTCGAAGACCTTCCATTGCATGCTGATGTGACGTTGTGTGCCGAAGCGGGAGGGATATCGAAACCAGAGTTTTCGACCACGATAGCCAGTGGGTCGAAGTACTCCTCCTTGCACAGCGAGCGCCACCTCGCGCAAAGACGCAGCAAGTTATCGTCGTCAACATTCAAGCTTTGTAGGTTGAGTTACAAAACTCCCAACTCTCCTGCAATTGCAAACGAGCGTTAGATTAGTCGTGGTCGTAGAGCCGACGATGCTGTTGGCGCAGCTCGGACGTGGCTTCACGCACGAGGTGCAGCATCGCCGGAATACAGACGCGGCCGTGTGGTCGGTACACACCGGCCGTGCATGCCTCGAACAAGGCCCATCGATATGCACGCTGCCACCGTAGTCGCACTTGGACTTGAATCGCTGCTCGGCGCCGGTGCCGCATGGCGGCGAGGTCCGTGCGCGACGAGTCGAGCACTTCCTTGCCGATAAGAACACCAGCAAGGACGACGGTTGCAAGGCCGCTGCCGAGGATCACCATTGCAATACGCTCGGCGTTGCCGTCCTGGGGCGCCGAAGTGTGTACAATGCCGAGGAAGAGCGTCAGACATAGCTGGAACTGCATGACGCTCGACACGAGCGTATCTGTCCACTGCTTGTACGGCTTGAGAAAGAGCAGTAGCGCCATCGTGAGAAAGCTAGTTTGCATCAACCTAATGTCCATGACATCGGGACATCGTCGTACCAGATGAGCATGCCAACCAGCGCCTGCGCGAGCATCGAATCGAGGAAGACAACGCCGACACTCATGAGCAGTCGCCGCACCAAGTCGACGACTTCGCAGTACCAGTAGCGCACGTCGTCTACATGCACTCGTTTTAAATCACTTCTGAGGGAGAGAATCTCGGTACAGTTGTTGTAGATAAAGCCAATGCGACTGAGCACGAGTGGGTCCTACTCAAAAAGCGCCATGCGTCCATTTAGGGTATCCTCTCAACATCAAGACGACCTGGAGGTTGCGCTGCTGCATGTACACGCCCAAGTAGTAGTCTTGTACATCGAGGAACTTGGACATGGGCGTGTACTTGCGCTCGTTGCGGCCGAGGACAAGGTGGGCGCGCATCTCGCGAAGCCACTTGGCGCGAAGGGCGGCAAAGTGCGGTTGCCGAAGGACCCGTACGCGGTCGTCGACGCGGCGTATGCGGGCGCGGTAGATGAGGAGCCCGAACAAGACTGGGACGCCAACGACCCAGAGCGCAACGCCGACACCCGCCACACCGGCGTAGAGAAACCACTCGGACGAGAAGCACGTCAGCGTTCGATCGACGACGAGAACGTACGCGGTGCTCGTTCGCTCGCAGTGGAAAATCGAGAGCACCTTTTGAGCGACCATCGGATAGGTGCAAAGAAGAAGCCAAATGCCAAGCCGGAAGCACTTGGCCTTGTACAGCTGGAGGTTCAAGCGGAGCTTGACACGCGCCTGCCACACGCGCAAGTTGCTTCGAAGCAGACGCTCCTTCATCTGCGCCGTTTGAAGGCGGTGCAAAAGCGGGCACACTTGGTGGTGCGACATGTACACCGGCAGGCCCGTGGCGTGGGCTTGCGACGTCCCGATCGTGCGCTTGATTGCAACGTGGCACTGCTTGTGTGCGACGAGGCTACCACGACGAGCAATGAGCTGGCCGTCGCCAAACTGCTGCTGCAGCGTAGCATAGGCATCGCGCGAGAGCGACTCGAGGACGGGGAAGCCGCAGTGCAGACAGCTGCGAGGAATGCGGTCGAGCTTGGCTTTGTACAGATACGTGCCGCGCCAGTCAAAGACTCGGAGGATGCCCAGAAACACCGCCATGGATGCCAGCGTGAGCCTACGCATCAACTTCTGAGTCGTCGTAGTCGTATCCGCCTCGAGACCCACAGGAAAATACCAAAGTAGTTGGTCGACAAGAGGCAGTTGATGCGAATCATCGAGAGCCAGTCCTAGCCACAGCAGTGTCATACTGACGACATTGACGCGTGGACGTACGAGGTTAAACTGCGACGATGCCTGCATCGCGTCTTTGACCGATGGCGGCCACACGGTTTTGTAGTTGGTGTAAAAGTTACCGAAAATCTGCAGAAAACCGAGCAGTAGTTTGATCTTCTCGGGGTGGAGTACGAGGACGGGCGACTCGTACTTGACGCCAAACACGTGGTGCTGGTTCTGCGTGTGCTGGTAGTGTCGAAACAACAGCGTCGAGTGCAGAAACCCCCAACACCCGCGCTCGTCGCGATACTCGGTCGACACGCGGCGCTTCCTCGGGCGTCCGTTGCTTGGTGCGACGTGGCCTTTCTTGAAGGCGCGGTCTGCTTGGGCGTTATAGAGCAGGTACGCCTCCGAGTCGTCCTATCAAATTCGAACATTGAATGACAAGCACCAATGAGAACTGGTGTCCGACCGTCAAGAAGCTCGAGATGGCGACGCCGCTCCAAATGCAAAGAATGAGAAAAGCTCCGGGAATGACAACCCAATTGACGTGGGCAAGCGATGTCTCGGTCGACGTGCAAGCTAGTCGTACGGGTTTAGAAAAATCGACAGACGATATGGTGTACCGACACAAGCCCCAGATGCGGTGCGGGCATAGGACGCAGCGCAGACCGAGCACCCAACACCGTCGTAGCCTTCCGCGCATGTCGCATTGCCCGCGCACGCACCAATTACCTACGCAGAGATTTCCCGTTAGAATACAAAAGCTAGTGATGGCAGCAACACTGCAAGGCGTCGACGACAGGTTGGTGACGCAGGCAAAGACACGACTCGCGGGCCAGTGCTTTTTGTACTCGAGAAGCGGCGTGTTTGACATGCACGTATATAAACTCTGCTCCAACGGCACCGATGCGTTGATGTAGCCAAGGCATGGATCGGTGCTGGACCAGAGGCTGGGGTCGCACGTAGTCGATGCCTACATCGGGTCAGAATTGCGAACACCCTGCAAAAGCGTTTACCGAGCTAGGTACAGCGGCGAGCGTATAGCCTGGTGCGGCAACGAGCGCGGTAGCAGGCTCGCAGTTCACACCGAGCGGGCACGGAAAGCACCCAATGCCACCGAGACTACATATGCAAGAGCGTCAAATGGCCTGCAGCACCTCTGTGACGAACCTTGTTTGACCTGGTGGGCACCGTACGCATCTCCTAGAAAAATTGTTTAACAGCACTGCATACTGTCGACGATACCAAGAAGTTGACGCTGCAAAGAACCCGACGGGGCACTCGGTCACGCGCAGTTGCAGATTTGAAAAAAGCGATGAATGCGGCCACGGCAAATCACAGCGGACATGCACCTCGTAAGTGCCAGGCGGACCAGTAACACTTGCGTGGCGTAGCACGATGCGCCCGCCTTCGATCCACAAGCGACCTGTCCGCTCTACGCTTGCGCCTGCGACGTGCCAGGAACACGACCAATCGGTCGTTGCTGGATAGGACTGGTTGTACGCATCGACGACTTGGAACCACGGCCAGTCCCGTCGCTCAGGGACCGTCGTTTTCGAAGAGGCTCCGAGGACGAACCCACTCACAAGTGTTTCTGGCCAAGCCCTTGGCACGAGTTGGACGGGACCGGACGCGATAGCACCAATACTGTCGTTCGAGTCGACCTGGGCAGCGCCATGGGGTGAGAACACGGCATCGCCACGCTCCGTTCCTCGGTTGCGCGTCATGTTGGTCGTGATCACTGTCACGCGGGCGTCACCAAAGAGGCCGACCGCTCCCTACAAAGACCTGAATGTACTTTCATGAGGACGAACGCACGTACACCAAACGCGGCAATGTTGTCGAAGAATCTCGACATCTCGACTGTAGCACTAGCCGTCGCACCGAGAAGCCCAACGGCGCCGCCGTAGCCCTCAAGAGCCGAGTTACTGGAAAAAGTGGTACTCACGAGCGCCAGATGCGACGAGGTCGCAGCAATGGCCCCGCCGTTGCCCGTTGCTGCGTTGTGCAAGAAGTACGACCGCTCGATGGTTGCCAGCGGCGCGTCACGAAGAGAGATGGCACCGCCGTCGATACCGTCGTTGCCCTCAAAAGTACTTCCGACAACAGCTAGCAAGGACGACCGCAGAGCAATCGCAGACACCCCTCGGTGTCCGAGAAGCCGTGCGTTCTGCAGCTGTACGCAACTATCGTGGCCAGCAACGCCTACGATATACGACAGAGAGCTTGAGCGTCTGCAGTGTATAGGCAGTAGGTACCTGCACCATGGCGCGCAGCGGTGTTGGCCGTGAGGTTCGAATCCACGAGCACCAGACGCGTCGAACCAAAAGCTCGCAGATGAACGCCACCGCCAAAACCCAGAGCGCTATTGTTCACCAATTGGGTGCTGCGCACGGTGATATTAGCTCGTCGATCAGCGCTAATGCCCCCGCCATGCCGACCGGCTCCTAAACTTTGTGAGAAAATGGTATAAAAAATACTGCCGTACGACAATGTTGCAACCTCGAGTGCTCAATCGTGATGCTCACGTTGCTAGCCAGAATCGCACCGCCATCACGGTTTGCCGTGTTGCTGTTGAAACGCGTCGAGTGAATGTCGACGCGGGCGGCGTTGCAGGCGTGGATGCCACCACCGTCGTCTTGAGCGACGTTGCTTGCAATGTCGGCTCCCGAAACCAACCAGTGTGATCGCTGGTCAATGTACACGCCGCCGCCTTGACGCGCAAGGTTGTGCGACACGTTGAGCGCACGGCCCACCATCGCTGAGTTTTCGAGGTAGATGCCGCCTCCTTGCTTGGCACGACCGCCTACGCAGTCGACGCGATTGACCCACAAGTAGCTTCGAACCGCCGCGACGCAGCCACCGCGGCAGGCTTCGATCCCGCGGATGGAGACGCGGGTCAGCGAGAGTTGCGCCCAGGTTGCGACAAGCCGGACGCCGTCAAACGCCACGTTTTCGATGTCGACGAGGCCTGTGATCGACCATTGTGACGGCACATCGCAGACAATGGTAGGTGGCCATGTGGCGCCAATGATTGTCACGTTGAAAAGCTCAAGGGGGCACTCGGAGGCGTATGTACCGGCCTGGATTAGCAAAATGTACTTGGATGACGCCGCTGCTGGCCTTGCTGCCAACGCTCCGTGTAGGCTTTTGAACGGACTCGCAGCAGACCCGCGAGCCACGGCGTCATTGCCACGAGTAGAGTCGACATAAATGACCACGTGACTGCGCTCATTGGGCCGACTGGTTGACAGCAAAGCGGGTTCCAGAGAAGTGAGTCCGGCGGACGTGCTTGGCCGTCCAGACGCATCATCTGGCTTGAGTGATAGCGTTCGACTCCAAAGCAGCAATATCAGCCAGGTGCATGACAGCCATCGCATCGTATCGACGGGCGCAAATTTGGGCGAGCAGTTACAGCGAGCTTTCGGTCGTTTTTCTGAAGATTCGTTTTTCTGAAGAATTTACCCATTCTATGTCGCAAGAGTATGCTTGTACCGCGAGATGATGCAATATTTAGACATGATTTTGTGAGAGGCACGTTGTGCGAGGCGGTCCGTAGCTTGTACCGCGACAATCACTTGATTTTTTCGTTATAAACTCCAAAATATAGAGTCCAACGAGAGTGAACCATGTCCAGTATTTCTTCAACGTTAGAGAACAAAGACTCGGTGTAAACTCAGTAGATTTACTTCAGCGATAGCTCGACCTTATGCGTTCGCATGCAATGCTCTCACGCACCGCCAGGGAATGGAGCTGGACAATGCAGCGCTTGGGCTATTATTACGCAGCTCAGTCGGCACTTGCCAACCGTCAACGCGTGGCTCCCACTCGACGTTTAACAGTCATAGTCGCCTCTTTCTGTGATGTTTGCATACACAGACTTACGGGATCTAGTCTTTCCGAATGCAGAAACTAATAAACAATGGCGTGGAGTTCTAGCTTTGTGTGTCTTCATACAAGGAGGCAGGATCATCAATGGAGATGAGTATTTTCTAAGCTTCCTCAACCTTACGATGAGACAAAACACTTGACATAGCATCGCTATCGATGTGTGCCCTTTTTGTTCCAAACGGTGCCGTCGATCGAACCTCACACAACGTCAAAGAAGTCGTTTGGGTATTTATAATCTCGCTTCGAGCCATGGTGTACGTCGCATCACACTTTGGAATTGCCATTCTTGGATTACGACCAACAAGTACACCGTCGCTGTACTCACCAAGTCCAAACCGACGTATTGGACGTACGCACATCGAGCGCACGGTTTTCTTGTCGCTGGCGCCGGGGTCTTTGTCGTGCTCCTCGTCGCCGGCGACGCGATCGTCAACAACTGGGCGCTCCTCAACTTTATGGGCAGCGGCTACTTCTTTGTGACGCCGATTGCCGCGGCGACGAGCTTGGACTCGCTCGGGGCGCAGTACAGCTTTGCAGCCGAGATGGGCCTTCAAGACCTTTCGAAAAGCGGTCGCTGGATGAGCAACTTTACCGTGACGCACATGGTTGCAAAAAGCGAAAAGATCTACGTGATTGTGACAGGTGACATTCCGCTCACGCCCAACTCGGTCTTGTGTCCAATCTTCAAAGCGCGATATGCTGTCGACTTTGGCGCGACAAATGGACGCGTCAACTTCGCACTCGCGTACGACGCAGTGTCGTTCTTCCGCGGCAATGCGCTCAGCCATGCGTTTACGGACGATGCCAGCGCCAACCTCGCCAATGCGTCCATGAGTGCACAAGAGCTTTTTGCACTCAACTGTCTGCCCGGACGCGTCACTGTCGACAAGCGCTTTTCCAACGAGATCCAGCTACGCAACACGTCCGTGCCGCAAACTCACATCGTCTCGTACTACCGCATTTTCTCGCGGTCGTTCTGCACTGGCTGCGACCCCGTCGCCGAGCTCGGTTACGGCAGCTGCAACTTTACAATGGTGTACAACGACAGCGACAAGGCGGTCACTGTCACCAACAGCACCTTTGTGCCTGGTTCTCTCTACAAACTTGGTTTTATCATGCCCCACACCTTCTTGGGCGAGCTCGCGCTGGTGGCCAAGTCCATTGCGATCGCGTTTGCTGTCCTTGGGTACCTCGCCAGTCGACGCACGGTGCAGTGGCCGGACGCCACGCACGTCGAATCGAGCGTCGGCAAGGCGCTGCGCACTATTTTGCCCAAGTGTTTTCCGTACCCAAGCCATGCACTCAGTCAGCTACTGCATGTTTTGCTACAACTCGGCCTGGTTTGTCATTCTGCACGCGTTTAGCGTGCTCATCGACATCCAAAATTGTCTCTTGTACGTCCGGAACGTCAACTTGTACACGATGTACGCGCCGCAGTTTGGACACTCGCTGCAGCTCTTTGCCCTCAGCTCCCGCCTCTTGTGGGTCAACTGCGCGATCCTCAAGTCCGCAAAAGGCTTGTGCCATATGCTGAGCGTCGCGCAGTACGCAGGCGAGAGCCGCCTCGTCGGCTTCTTCAACCTCAGCAGTGTGTCGTGGCTGTACGCCAGTGCCATCGCACTCTTCTACGTGCCGCCGTTCATCGAATACAACAACAGCATCATCATCAACCTCACCAATGCCCGCGAGCGCATCGACGGTATCTGCGTCGACGTCTACCAAGGTTTTTACATGCGCGTCGCGACATCCCTTGTTGTGGGCCTTGTCGTCAACATTTTCGCTGTCACGGGCCTCAACCACGTGTGCAGCTACAAGTACTGGCAACTCGTGGCCAAGAACAGTCTGGCGCGCCAAGCACTCTTCAACAGCAGCTCGATCGTGTGCGACTACCTCGACGGACTCCAAGCCGATGGCGACGGCTCCATTTTTGTATTGCATGCTCGCCGATTTAGCACGCTCCAGTGGTTTTTCTCGAGCCACTTGACGCTTTTCGGGCTACCCGAGAAAGGACTTCGCGCCAAGAAGCAGCAAGTCGCCACGCAACAGTCGCAGTACGCGCCGTCTGCTCGCACTGCAAGCGCCGCGATTGCGTGTAGCACGGCCGCTAACAATGCAAACGCGGAAGACGACGCGCGCGATTGCACCGTCGTTCAAAACGGGGACGCAACGCTGCATCTACTCGATGGACGTTTAACCGAGGTCACGAGCCTCGCGTTCAACATCAAACTGCTCAAAAATCTCACCGTCGCAATTAAATAGCTACCACGTTGATCTTGACTAATACTGTACCGGTGTATAGTCGCACCTAACAGAACCGGGAAACGAATCTATAATAGTAAACATTGTAAGCTTATTTTGATGTTATCTAGCACACAACCACACGACGTTGATATTTGTGGGTCGAGTCTTGTTTCTCTCAGAAGTGACGAGAGCGCAAACCTGGGAGAAAGTGAGGTAAGCATGGTTGCCGATGTAGTGTGCCCAGAGTAAGTATCATTCACGTGCGTATAGCGAGTGGTTCAATTATTATTATATGTACAACTCGAATGCTGGGGCCACGTGGTGGGCCACGCTGGTGGGCTTGCACAAGAGCAAGCCCACCAGCCAAGTTTGGGTGATTTTATCCTCATAGTTTAAAATAGTGTACATCCATTTGACAATATATAGTGTGCATGTGCGTGGCGCCGTCCCGGCGGCGCTCCAGTCGGACAAACTGCGTTTAAAACTAAACCGCTTCTATTTGGCAAGCAAGTTCCTGTCATCTGGGAGAGTTCAATGTGATACGTCGTGTGCACATTTGAGGTATTGAGTCAGAGTTATTGATGCTTAAAGGTTAACCACTCAACTTGTATTGATCTGTGAGCATAACTGCAGCTCGCCATACGAGTGGATAACCAACACGATATTGTAGTTGTTGCTTATGACAAGTGACGCGCCGTTATGTAAAGTCAGAGGATGATGTCGTATTGGGCAATTACTGCAGGTCGTTTGAGCGGCAAGGGCGTCAACGATTTTGATTAAATATGGCTATAAGTCGTTATTTATGGCAAGTGCCATAAATAAGTAGTGTATAACGCACAGCTCCTGCAACAGGGCTCAAACGTCGACGCGGCTTTGCATTCCGTGTCCTCCATGGTGTCTTCTACCAGTGTGCCAAGTTTGAGCGATTTCATTTTGGACTGTGGTTTGGGCGCTCGGGCATTTCTGGGATCCAAGCAGCACCGATAGGATTGGCCAAAATGTGCGTAAAATGGCTAATTAATATGGTTCATGGTAGCATCGTGAATTGATTTCGCGGCAAGGCCAACCTCGAAGCGTGCGACGAGAAGCCGACGTAGTCTGGTTCACTGTGAAAGCAGCGAAGGCACCAAATATAATGTCATCAAACACGAGAAGAGCATGCCCCAAAAGACAGCGTCGTGCTTGTAGAGCTCGCTGCAAAGCTCCAAATGGAGCGTGGCACCTCGGGCCACCTGCACAGCCAATGTCTCTACGGTAGGTGACCGCTTATGAATCTGCGGCCCGATCCGACAGGATGTGCGGCCGTCGTTGCCGCTGGGATGCCCGTGTTTTCGCCACACCACGCCGTGCACCTCCTTGTCCCCACCATTGATGCTTTGCAGCTTGCACGAGTATGAGTGCCAACATCTCTGTCGTCGAAATATTATGCCGTGGCTAGCACACATCACCGAGAGAAGCTTCGCGGCTGTCGCTCTGCGTTGCCCAGCACACCGAGTCCCCGCATGCTGTCGCTACCATAGGCGCCACGGCGCCTGCTCGCCTCGAGGAACACGATGCAATCCAAGGTCTCGCAGCGCTACGGCCGACCGCTGGAGCGCCGTCACTTTGCCGCCTCAACTCGCGTCAAGCCGAGGTGCGTCTCTGCCTCTTGTCTCAGCGTAAATCGCCGTCAGCTCCTCTCGTCGTTGACATTGGCCTCGGTGATTGACCTCGGCACGTCGTACCGAGGAAGAGGTCCGGGGCTTGACCTCGTCGTCGAGCTCGAGTCATTACATCAAAAGCGGCTCTAATCGTGCGGAGAGTCCATTGTTCGGTGTAGGATGGCGTCGAGTGGTGTCGTCGAGTGCACGTTGGGCTTGTGTTGCAGCGGGACGCTCAATTGAGCGATGTGGAAACCTACAAAACACTTACAGTGATGCACAGCTTCGAACTGCTAGAAAGGTCGTCGCGATCTGTCGCAGATCGCGCCAGCTAAGGGGACGATGCACGGACGTCTGCCACGGCGGTAGCTTGAACCCCGGCGTACTCGATGCACTTGCTTTGACCTAATAGGACAACCTCATTCGCTGCATTAGAGTTGCTCTCGCAAGACAAGATGATGCATACGCCTATGTACTACCACGCGGGTAGTACCGCAGAGTAACGCGGGTCGGTCCTGTGTACCTAGGGTGTTTGGACATGAGCGCGGGATGATCAATATTATTGAGAGGTAATATATGCGCCTTGAATATCGTGGACGTCGGCAGTGTGTTGGAGCGAGTGACGTCTCGTCAA